AAAAACACGTAGAGAGCCTTTTCTACAAACTAGATATTCTAAGAAAACTATTCTCTTCACTTCTGTGATGCAATCCTACCATCTGGTTGAGTGAGAATAATTTAATTTAAAGCTCTTGGTAAAAAACTGATTCTTATAACAGGAGGAGGTGAGCTTTTTCTGATTGTTCACCTGGTTTCTGAAGGACATGGGGTCGATGGGGTCCTCAGCAGCCAGTGAGATGGAGGACAGCAGGATGAAGAGGAGGATGATGTTGGTGAAAGTCGTTGCATTAATGATTCGATGGCAGAGCTTCCGGAACCTAAAATAATTAAAAAGACTTTCATTACTCACACTGACAACAATCTTTAATTAAATTGTGATGCATCTATTCAAATCCAGGATAAAATATAAGGAACTCCAACTCTGTAAAAAATTTCCTCTGTTCATCTTGTTAGAATTTAGTGGTAATTACTCACTTTAGCATAGCATGCTATCACATGATCTATGCTAATTACTGATTGTTTTATTTTCTTTTATAACTATTTTTTGTGTTAAAGTCTCTGGCTGTGTCCACAGACTCTCTTTTCTCTCTTTTTCTCTCTCTGTTGCATTAGATCCACCTTTAGGTCAACACACACACACACACACACCATTTGTTAGCACATTCCTGTCCTCTGCATGAATTAGGACCTGGCCTGTTCCGTCCCAGAGGTAACTGGCCAATAGGACTTGGTTGTGTCCAGTCCTCTTTTTTTATAACTGTCCTAACTTAAAAAAAAAAAAAAATTATTGACATTATCACTTTCAATTATTTTAGACCTATATATATACATAAAGTTACTTATGTATATATTTATTTATATTCTGTGTGGAATTTTTTATATATATACTGTATATGTATACATGTATAGACATGTATACATGTATATGCCGTTGTTTTATTTCTGGAGTTAGTAATAAAAATAATTTCCCTATAATGATCAAATGCAAAAACATCTTTCAATGATAAGAAATGTGTAATTTTTTTTTAAACATAATAAATAAATAAATAAATAAATAAATAAATAAATAAATAAAT